TTCCATGTGTGTGTGTGGTTTGGGGGGGGGGGTGTCAGTAGCTTACATGCAAAATTTTAAGCCGTTTCGTCAAAAAATTGCGGGAGGGGAGTTTAAAAAAACTTGCATGGTTTATCTCAAGTGATGGTGTCATAAATACAAGTATAGACTACGTGAAGCCGTTTGACATATAACTCGAACACGTTTATACTTAACTTACTTTAAACCATATATTTATGTATATGCTAATTGAATAGTTGTACTTTTATTTATTTTTTTGTTCGATCTCGCGTGTGATCAGAAGTTTGTTGAAGCAAGCAGGTTTTGGTGTGGTCAGCCTTATTATTAAACACAAAACACGAGTTTATTGTGTACAAGTACATCGTGCAGAGTTGACATATATATCCTAATGTCTTGAGTTTAACGGTAGTTCTGTAACAACGAAGTAGAAACTCGTTCATTTTGATGCTAAGATTGCTAGTTGATGACTCACTGAGAAACTCTGTCTAAACCTAAATATTGATGAGAAAAGAATGCAAACCTCAGTCAGTAAATACTTGCACGCACGTTAATCAAATATGACGTGTTTAGGTGTAATGAAGACAACCAGAATATCTAGATTTAAGGAAGCTTGTATTTTATTTTTCATAACCTAATAATGTACTTTTTTTAAGTGGGGGGTAACAAAAAACAAACAAACTCTTAGAAATCGATTTGTTGATACATGGTCTACGCCTTCACATTTCAAATATTAGGATACACTTTTCGACTGTTGATACACGGTCTACGCCTTCACATTTCAAATATTAGGATACACTTTTCGACTGTTGATACACGGTCTACGCCTTCACATTTCAAATATTAGGATACACTTTTCGACTGTTGATACACGGTCTACGCCTTCACATTTCAAATATTAGGATACACTTTTCGACTGTTGATACATGGTCCACGCCTTCACATTTCAAATATTAGGATACACTTTTCGACTGTTGATACATGGTCCACGCCTTCACATTTCAAATATTAGGATACACTTTTCGACTGTAGATACACGGTCTGCGCCTTCACATTTCAAATATTAGGATACACTTTTCGACTGTTGATACACGGTCTGCGCCTTCACATTTCAAATATTAGGATACACTTTTCGACTGATCCACAAATACCATATGCTGTATTTCATGTTTTTTTAGTGTACTGTTTTTCTATAGATGAATATGTATCTGTAATTGGTTATTTTAATGTTTTCATTATGTATCTGTAATCGGTTGTTTTATTGCTTCAATTACTGTGTACGTGTACCTGGTAATGTTACATGACTGTGTACGTGTACCTGGTAATGTTCCATGACTGTGTACGTGTACCTGGTAATGTTCCATGACTGTGTACGTGTACCTGGTAATGTTCCATGACTGTGTACGTTTACCTGGTAATGTTCCATGACTGTGTACGTATACCTGGTAATGTTACATGACTGTGTACGTATACCTGGTAATGTTCCATGACTGTGTACGTGTACCTGGTAATGTTGTTTCTTCCGTGGATGATTGGTTTCATCAAATGCATATAGTGTACCTGGTAATGTTACATGACTGTGTACGTATACCTGGTAATGTTCCATGACTGTGTACGTGTACCTGGTAATGTTGTTTCTTCCGTGGATGATTGGTTTCATCAAATTGCATATAGACATATATTATATATGTAATAATCTTTCATATAGACATATATTATATATGTAATAATCTTTCATATAGACATATATTATATATGTAATTATCTTTCATATAGACATATATGTAATCATCTTTTATATAGACATATATTATATATGTAATCATCTTTCATATAGACATATATATATGTAGTCATCTTTCATATAGACATTATTATATATGTAGTCATCTTTCATATAGACATATATTATATATGTAGTCATCTTTCATACGGACATATATTATATATATAGTCATCTGTCATATAGATATATAAGAAAGTGACTTAAGTGTTTCTTTGAAAAATTGTTACTCAGTCACGATGATAAACATGTATATAGAAACCAATGTGAAATAAATAAATAATGGGAAAATGATTTCCCCTCATTATATACGTTATTTTGTATTAGTACTAGAAAACGAGAATGACTTGGTACGAATTTTTCTAAATGTAATCCGGACTGAAATATGGAAATACGTACTATATAGCGTTTGTATTATTCTATAGCATGCGCTATTGTATATATATTTTACATACAAGAATAAATTGGGCGATTTTAAAAGCAGAATACATGTGAAAATAGTTTGATATCGTGTACATCTGCCTGGAATTGAAAGTAAGTACTATGTCAAGTACGGGTTTTTCTCAATTTTTGGCTGTTAATTTTCAAACAGTACGTTCTTAAGCAACTTAACGAATTAGAGAGTGACTTACGACAGCGTTTTCAAAAGTGTGGGGTACGTCCCCCAGGGGGTGCAAATGTTTTTTTATGTTGGGAGAGCGATTTGTGTAGAATAAAGTCACTAGTGCAATATGCAAAATTAAGCGTTTTAATATGTTTTTATTAATCAAAGTAATAAGAAATTACTATAACACATACAGTATTTTAATGTGTATTATATCTCGTCACTTAACTCACTCATTTCAAAAAAAGAGGGGGCGCAAGAAATATATTTATTTAAGAGGGTGTGAATAACAAAAGTTTGGGAAACGTTGGGTTACGAAATATTGATTTTCGCACAGTGACGTAACATTGTTTTGTAAACAAAACAAACATTAATGTATTTTAATGTAAATAAAGATAGGTGTGTGCTCGTGTACCATTGTACCATGGTCTTATTTCATAAAGTTTTTAAACAAACGTAAACACCTAAGTTCAAAAGGAATTCACAGTAAAAAATACTGTTTCTCGGCCATATAAACATGTATATCGATTGTCACAAAGATCTGTGTCTGTTACAGTAGTTTCCAAATTAAGATTTGCAAGAAGCAATGGGATGATCCGCGTGACAAGGCATAGTAAAACGTAATTATATTGTTTAAAAGATACTGATTCTAAAAGGTTTTTCAACAAACAAAAACACAAAATATTAGAACACTACTAGACTTTACAGAGAACTGTAGTCTCCTCCTCTGGCTACACAGATAGGTCTGGAAAACGGTAGTCTCCTCATCTGGCTACACAGATAGGTCTGGGAAAACGGTGGTCTCCTCATCTGACAACACAGATAGGTCTACGGAGAACTGTATTCTCCTCATCTGGCTACACAGATGGGTCTATGGAGAACTGTAGTCTCCTTCTCTGGCTACTCAGATGGGTCTACGGAGAACTGTAGTCTCCTTCTCTGGCTACTCAGATGGGTCTACAGATAACGGTAGTCTCCTCCTCTGGCTACACAGATAGGTCTGGGAAAACGGTAGTCTCCTCATCTGGCTACACAGATAGGTCTACGGAGAACTGTAGTCTCCACATCTGGCTACTCAGATGGGTCTACGGAGAACTGTAGTTTCCTTCTCTGGCTACTCAGATGGGTCTACAGGGAACGGTAGTCTCCTCCTCTGGCTATTGAGATGGGTCTACGGAGAACGGGTGTCTCCTCCTCTGGCTATTGAGATGGGTCTACGGAGAACGGTTGTCTCCTCCTCTGGCTATTCAGATGGATCTATGGAGAACGGTAGTATCCTATTCTGGCTATAGAGATGGGTCTAAGGAGAACAATAGTCTCCTCCTCTGGCTATCCAGATGGGTCAGTCGTGTGTTGGGAATGTTTAGGAATCTCCTCTCTTGAGCTTGAGTAATTTGACGCTAGCGTATTTTTTGCTAACGTAACATCCAGGCGGCACATTATTCAGATAATCATTTGACGTCCCATTTGACGTCCAGGCAGCACTTTGTTCAGTAATCATTTGATTTTAAGATGTATAACAATCCTGTTTATGAAACCAGTTTTTAATATATCTATTACGACAACAACAGTGTGTGGTATTCAAAATTAACGTTTATGTTGAATAAGAGGTGCACGTCTTTAAAAGTCGTTGGACGCGAGTCTCTTAGCAACGACAACAATAAGACTGGCTTATCTTATTTGGTGCAATATGCTGTTCGAGATAGTATACAAGGCACCTTCATTGGAATGCCTGAGGTAAAGGTGAAGATGTTCCTACTAAATCAGCGAAATTCTTAGAAGTACCACATTTTTAAATCATCCCAAAGTGACTGTGCTTACAGAAAGACGAAACTAAACGCTGGTGTGCGTGCTGCCTAAAATGTTATCACATAAACTAAGTTCTGCTTATTTAAAAAAAAATGCTAGTGAAAGTCACACTGTTTGAAGAATGTTTGATCTTGCCGGGTCAGGTTTAGAAATGAGGTTAAAAAATCCAAGATCATCACATGCAAACGCTTTTTTTTTGTTGTTGTTGTTAGTGTATTCCGATGTTTCAAAATGTGTCAAGGCTAATTACAGACACGCAGAGATTATGGTAATGTATAATACAAGACTTGGGAGTAGAGTTCAAACATTAGCTTTTATATAATGTTATGAAATATGCAGTTTTTTGAAGTAGTCTGGTAAATTATAATGATTTTATAAATTGAGAACTTGTAAGCAAAACACGATCTTCAAGCCGTAATATAATTTGTAGTGTAAAGGTTTAGAAACCAGATACGGTAAAAAAAAAAAAATGTACATTTTCTCAGGCTTTTTTTATCTCTTATTTTGGTTTTAGTTACGACGTTGCCCAGTATTCAGTATTTCTTCTCTCTCTCTCTTTTTTATCCCTATACATTCTCGGTAGTCTAAACTAACTAAAATAAGTTATTCGAATAGTCTTTTATAATGGAAATGCTTCAGTTTCATTCGTGAATAGTATTAGACCAATGTTTCTTAACATGTTTGCAGGGGGGAGGGTCACTGTCTGCGCTGAGTCAACATTTTTTTTTTTAGTCCTCTGGAAGGTGTATGGGGCACCTTTGTTATGAACTACGCCTAGAAACGCAAAGAATTTTCCATCATTGTAGAGAAAATGGAGGGGGGGGGGGGTCGCAACGACCAAAGTACGGGCGCGGGAATCGTCTTGCAAGTCCGGCTAAGAAGCAGTGCATTAGACTCACGTGCCATTCTTATACCAAGTACTAGAGTGATTAAACTTTCAGGGTTTACTTTTTTATAATACATGTATTCTCTAATACTGTGATCAGGCTTATTCTAGCCTGTCAGTAGTGACTCAAACAGTAGGTCTGAGGGCTTATTACAATAAAAATCGGGTTTCGGTACACGCGGTGGGCTCATTTAGTGATATTAACAATATAAGGTGTGAACGTTCAAGTTGTATTCTGTTTCATATTTAATGTATTAATGTAGGAAATGATACACTTAACATTCATACTTATTGTATTTATATAGGAAATGATACACTTAACATTCATACTTAATGCATTTATATAGGAAATGATACACTTAACATTCATACTTAATGTATTTATATAGGAAATGATACACTTAACATTCACACTTAATGTATTTATATAGGAAATGATACACTTAACATTCATACTTAATGCATTTATATAGGAAATGATACACTTAACATTCATACTTAATGCATTTATATAGGAAATGATACACTTAACATTCATATTTAATGTATTTATATAGGAAATGATACACTTAACATTCACACTTAATGTATTTATATAGGAAATGATACACTTAACATTCACACTTAATGTATTTATGTAGGAAATGATACACTTAACATTCACACTTAATGTATTTATATAGGAAATGATACACTTAACATTCACACTTAATGTATTTATATAGGAAATGGTGCACTTAACATTCACACTTAATGTATTTATATAGGAAATGATACACTTAACATTCACACTTAATGTATTTATATAGGAAATGGTGCACTTAACATTCATACTTAATGTATTTATATAGGAAATGGTGCACTTAACATTCACACTTAATGTATTTATATAGGAAATGATACACTTAACATTCATTTAGCGATACTAAGTTACTTTAAATTGTAAAAATATCTACATTTTGTTGTGGTTCAATTTAAACATACTTAGCTAATCAAAACGTAAGCTGCTGTGACGTCACTCTTGTTTAATTTCCTATGTAATTTATAGACAATTTTTAATAGCTAATTTTGTTTACTAGGACGGTAGGCAGTCAAAAGTCGTGGACAAAAGACTGAAACAAAGTTTTAATTCAGGGAATATCGTTCCCAGTAATGATGCAAATCAGTTTTGTTCTTGTCTCCGCTGAATAACCATTTTAATTCTGATTCATATGCTCCCAGTTTGTAGTATCGGTATGTCTATGTTGTTATGTCTACACCAAATTTCTTTCACCACGTGCAGTGAACGTGTAAAATATGTACATACCATGTACCCAGCTGTTCACCCTTGCCATGAATCACTTTGGAGTGCAAGGACCTGGACAAAAATAATAAGTATTACAGGGTTAGTTGAATGGGTAAATAGTAGGTGGTTGCTTTAACAGACTGTCTACGTTTTCTTTCTTTTTTTTGTCGCCGTCTGCTAAACAGATGAATAAAATATCTTTTTTACATTTTACTCCTTACATGAAAACCGGTCTTGTACAAAAAAAAAAAACAAAAAAAAAGTGAGATTATTACACATGGTTGAGATTTGAATTTGAATGTATTAGACAGGGTTGAGGTTTAGTCCTGATATTATTACACGAGGTTAAGATTTAAACCTGAAAGTATTAGACAAGGTTGAGGTTTGGTCCTGATGTTATTACACGTGGTTGAGGTTTGAACCTGAGAGTATTATACACAAGGTTTGGTCCGGAGAGTATTACACGAGATTGAGGCTTGAACCTGAGAGTATTATACACAAGGTTTGGTCCGGAGAGTATTACACGAGATTGAGGCTTGAACCTGAGAGTATTATACACAAGGTTTGGTCCGGAGAGTATTACACGTGGTTGAGGTTTGAACCTGAGAGTATTATACACAAGGTTTGGTCCGGGAGAGTATTACACGGGGTTGAGGTTTGAACCTGAGAGTATTATACACAAGGTTTGGTCCGGTATTACACATGGTTGAGGTTTGAACCTGAGAGTATTAGACAAGGTTGAGGTTTGAACCTGAGAGTATTAGACAAGGTTGAGGTTTGAACCTGAGAGTATTAGACAAGGTTGAGGTTTGATCCTGAGAGTATTGCATGGTGTTGAGGGTTGACTTTGAGAGTATTGCATGGTGTTGAGGGTTGACTTTGAGAGTATTATATGGGATAGACGGTTGACCATGAGAGCATTACACAAGATTGAGGTTAAATCGGACACCTTTACGGACATACAATCATCTCGTTTCTTGTCACTGCAATATTCCATGATTAGTTACGTGTTTCCTGTTTATTGTGAATCTGGAATTATAGTATTAAAAATGTTAATGGCACAAGTCACTTTAGTAACCTACGTGACGTCATCAGTTGTTTCGTCTTTGTAAAACTTTTCCACTAGGAGTATCTAGGAACCATACATAAAATATCATAAAGGTTATATATATATGGTTAAAACCCATAAGAAGTTTTTCTTCGTCTTGTCTGGATTGTATTATGTTTTTTACAAGACGATATGTATCGTCAATTTATTGCGAAGTCTCCTTCATTGTATGGGTAAATCAAGGGAAGCTTGCGCTGAAGTGTTGGAGTACTGACAGGATGAACTTTGCTTCATTTACCCTCGTCGTCCAACAACCAAACCTCTTCCTGCTTAAGGCACAGAATTAGGAGCTCCACATCCTTCCTTGATCAAGCTGATAATGCAACGCATTATGGGAGAAAATATTAAATACGAAGTGATATGTTATTGTAATAATACACAAGACACAAGACTCCTACGCTATTTAACCTCATTAAGCTGTGTGTGTGTGTGTAGTGAGGGCTTATAATTGAAAGTTTTACATTTCACAGCAAAAGTTAGAAAATGTATATTGATTCTAGAAGTAAAGAACATATTAAACTGGATATTTTTTTATAAGATGTTTAAGGATAATTCTAAACAGTCGTAGAATTGTTTATAGAATAAATATAAAATAATTCGTGTTAGTTTAAATTATTATTTTACGGTTGTGCTATTATTACATACAACACTTGCATTATACGTCTTCTAAGACATATCGGAAACGGAGATGACTTTAAAATTGCAGTGACACTTCTATCTATTAGATCTAAACCCACAACATTTTAACTATTCCAGCACAGTTTACTAAGACAGTTTAAAAAAAAAACTGTTTGTCAGTTAGGGTAAGAGTCTGTTGTACTGTTACCTCTATAGCTTTTTTTTTATGTCGCTCTAGTTATGCAAAGGTTTTTAACCTTTCAGCCTGAATTCGTATTTCGTTTTGAAATATTTTTCTTAAAATCAGAATTGTTGTAATTAGTTTTTTCCCACAAATTATTTTGATATAGTTACAGATATTTTTATCATCTCTTTTATATTTTATTTTATAAGTGAATAATACCGGTTTACTCAATCACTTTAAGTTTGTTTGAAGTTAAGCACAAAGCTACACAATGGGCTATCTGTGCTCTGCCCACCACGGGTATCGAAACCCGGATTCTAGCGTTGTAAGTCCGCAGATATACTGCTGTGCCAAATGATCGCTCAAAAAGAAACCCAAGTAACGGACTTCCACAATATTGTTTGTTGTACGTACGAGTTGAAACGTTATAATCGTTAAAACCAGAATTTTCCTACTGTAAAAGCTACCGTTTTTGTAGGTGTGATTAATTAATTAGTGGGTTAATTACCAAATATTATATATATTTGTTAAGTATAATTGGTATAATACGCTTGAATATTTTCCACCGAAGTCACATACTGATCCGGTGCATTCGAAATGTGTACAGAAACATGTCACAATTTTTCAGTTGGTTTAGTTTCTTTTTGTGTGTTATTATATGTACCGTATTTTTTGGAATATAAGACGGACCCTTATTTTGAGGACAAAGTTTTTGGGAGGAAAAAAAGCTACAGTC